GCCCTAGCAGCACCTTCCACCCACCTGGCCTGCTGCTCCAGTTAAGTATCCATCAACCTTTAAATCAAACACAGCCCACCCCCAATGTCACTCTCCTAGTCCCCTAAGAAACCAGTGACGTTTCCTCCTCTAGGAGCCTTAGCTTACTGCAAGGTCATGCCAGCAAAGGCCTAGGGTTTTGCTGAATGCATGCTGTTGCCAAACACAAATGCCACCTTGGGCCATGTAAACAAAAGTGATGAGCCCTGGGTTGCCCGTGTGTCCTTGAACAAGTCATTTCTCTGCTGAACCTTAGCTCGTCGGTAGGAGGGGCAAAACACCAATTTCTCAGTTCCCTAGCAGCCCTGGCATTCTCTGGCTTAGTCCTGAGGCTGGATTAGGCGACTGGTAATGTTTTCTCTAGTTCTGAAGCTTCTGATCCCATGTTCAAACATCTAACGACACTGAATTGGCCTCTCCCTGGAAGGGCCTTGAGGCCTCGATTGTGGGGCGGGTTAGTTTCACTTTGACCCACGCAGCAGTTAAGCTCCCTTCCTCCTGGGCCCTCCCCCTCCCCACTCCACTAGCCAGGCTTCTGGGAAAGACTACCACTTCTTTCCCAGGAACTTGATTAAACTTGGGCCCATGACTACTACTCACATCCCCGTCTACAATTCAGGCATTTGGTGGGGCGTCTACAGAGCACACCCTACTCAGTTTCCTTAGAATTCTGGCTGAAGCCCTTGAGCAAGTCACCTGTCTGAAGGTCCTTAACAATTTACCCAAAGGCAGGAACGCTCTCTTTCCCCCTCAGGATACCAGTCTCTGCTCTCTTCTTCCTCCTTTCTCTGAGCTCTCTCCCTCCCCCTCTTCCTCTCTCCACCACTCCCCCTCCCCCCCTCCTTCTTGACTCTCCCCTTTCCTCCCCGCCAACCCCAGGCCTTCTCCCCAACCTTTCTTTTTGAAAATAACAGAATTATCTATTCCCTGGGTCAGGATTTTCTACAGAAATCATCTTGGTGCAAGGGACTAGGAGTCAGGAAATAAAACAAATAAGAACTTGTAGCTGAACAGCAGTGACTATAACTGTGGGCAGATGAGTTCCCCCCTGCCTCAATTTCCCCATCTGTAAAATGTTAGGGGTGGAGATTTCTAGGGTCCCTTCCAGCTCCATTTCCAGTCCAGGTTCTCCCATGCTCTTGACACTCACATGCTTCACCCTGTGCCACCATCTAGGTGGCCCCAGTGGCACTGGCTACCTCCTGGATACAGGGACCTTGTTCTTCTAAAGGGCAGTTACTTACCCAGCTGGGACCCCTCAGTCACTGACTGTCCCTGGCTACCTTTTCTTTGTAGGGGAAAGGGCAGCTTCAAGCAGCTTCCACGCTGTGATGACAATGCACCGAAACAGATTTCTATCTAAAAACCTCAAAACATCCCCCCGCTCTTGCTGACCTTTTTTTTCCCCCGGCCCCACCCTAGTTTTCATGACAATCTTATGTTCAGCCAACTCAGAAAAGAGAATCCAGCCAGAGAGGCAGGCAAAGTAGGTAGTAAAGTGTAAAGAGCCGCAACTTTGGAGTCTGAGGACCTAGGTCTCTGCCATTCATTCACTGCCTGTGTAACCCGGTGGGTTTCCTCCCCCTCCTAGGCCTGTTTCCTCAACTGTTGCCAGGAGATTGAACTAAATGACTTCCAAATCCCTTCCAGCTCTAAAGTCTATGATCATCTTAGATATTAATATCCAAAGCAGGGAATTTACTACAGTGCAAAAACCCCGGATTTAAGTGAAAACAAACAAACAACCTGGACTCCCATCCCTGTTCTATTTACTAATTGCAGGATGCTGGCCGAGTCACTTCACCTCATATACAAAATAAGAATACACTCCCTCCCTCACAGGGATGGAAACTTCAGAGGGCTATTGTCACTTCAATTCAAAAGGAGCTGAGCTCTAGGAATACAAATGTTAAGAGCTGGAAGCCGCCCCTCTTACAAACGAAAAAACTGAGGATGAGAGGCTTGATGGGACCACAACCAAGGACAGTAATTCTGATTTTCTTTAAAAGGTAGAACTTGAAAGTGCGGCTTTTCCGAGTACAAGTCTAGATGTTTTCTACTATATTGGGCTTCCTCCTGTAACAGCAAAGTACAAGATGTCACTTGTTCACGTTTCTGGAATCGAACTCGCCAGTTACTGACCCCCTCAAGCTAACTTGACAGGCTGCTGTTAATTGGTTGGGAGAAAGCTGAAGTTCGTGATGTCTTCATTAAACCATGTAATTCTTTCACAGTTCACGGGTACAAGCAACATTAATAAGGAAGGAAAAACAGTTGAAATGGGGACATTTCAGTTTGGGCATTACATTGAGCCTCTGCCAGGGTTTAAACCAAGGAAATTGTATTTTAAATGAGACTAGGGCAGACACTTGCCAAACCCCATCCATCCATTTGGGACTTCAAAGGAAACCACATCTGATCATGTAAAGTGCCATTTATTCATGATGAAAATATTGAGTTAAAAAAAAATTTGCACCAACAAAATGTTTGATACACTTTCTCCTTCCCCTTCAAAACCCAGCACAAAAATCCCAACAATTTAGGGGGTGGGATGGAACTGGAGTTCCCGACCTAATTTTAAAAATAAAATCCTCACGACTAGTTGTGAGTTTCAGAATTCCCAGGTATGTCTAGACCCATAACAACCCTAGACGCCAGTAGTCATTTCAATCACACAATTGCACAGATTCATTCATATTTTAGAAAAACCTCTCCCCACCCCATGTCTGTACAAGATAGTCAATCTCTAAGCCCAGAAAAGTCTAAAGTCAAGAATCCTCAAATTAGGGGGATTAACAGCTCACTTTCCTCTTCCCCTCCCCCAAACTAACCAGTTTTAACATTCAATTCCTGGTTAAAAGGTCCATCAGATTGGAGTGCCTGGGGTGGAATCTCCTCAGGGCCTTTAATTCAGAGAAAGCTACAACGCTGTCCTTCGGGTCTGGGAAAGGTAGAAGCTCTCACGAGAGGGCAAAGGTAAGCTCATTCAAGAGCAGAAAAGAAACCGGAATGAATTCAGATCTGTGGGAGAGACCGTAGGTCTTCCAGCTTCTACCAAGACTTGAGTTAGCACTGCAGTCTACCTAAAATTCCTGGGCAAAGTTAAAGGTTCTCTGGGCTAGAATCATTGCAAACTAAATAAACAAAATAAAAGCACAATCCATTATAATTTTCTTAAAAAACAAACCACACACACCAGCATATATGAACCACAAAATCAGCAGCATGATGCGGATGAGAAGGCAAAAAAGGGTACCCCTTTGTTAAGTTAACACACTTTGCCAACCTTTTAATGGACAGTCCACGCCTCTTCTTGGACCTCAAGACAGCCACGTGCCAGTAGCAATTAGTCCCCACTAAAAGCCCCTCCCTTTCTGACAGATCTAACAGAATTAGGAGTTGCAGGCTACAGGACAATAAAGTTGGGGGATCTTTTTTTTGAGGGGATGGGGCAGGAATAATAACTCACATTTCTATAGTGCTTTAAGCTTTACAAAGCACTTTCCCCACAACAACCCTGTGAGGTAGGTAGTGCAAGTATTATTATCCCCATTTTACAGATGAGGAAACTGAGGCACCACAAGGGAAGGGAATAGAAGAGTAATAATCATTCTGCTGCCATGAAATACACACCTCACTGCACGCTACAAGTCTCTGGTATCCAATTGGTGTCCCTGAGCCCCTTCTCCCCCAAGGCTCTAGTGACAACTCACAGTTCTTGCCCGTCCAAATCAGTACTTCAGGTTTTAAATCAGACCCAAACTGACTGAAAAAACTGAATCTGAGCCCTCAGGCCACCCCCTCCTCTCCAGAATGAAATTTGCTCCAGTAGATCGCACGGTGGGGGAGGTTCAGCCACTTACGCTACTCGAATTCTAAGCACAAGCAGGAAAGCAGGACGACCTAACCAACAGCACAGGGTCAGATGTAGATGCTTGAGCTGTTATTCATCCAGAGCCTACGGAATGAATGCACAGTCTCACTTCCCTCCCAGAGAACTTCATAGGACTTAGAATAACTTCAGTTCACAATGGTGGGCCTGAATTCAGATTTATCAATTCCATTCCATTTGGGGGCGAAGCAATTGGGGTTAAGCGACTTGCCCAAGATCACACTAGTTAAGTGTCCAGAGATTTAAACTCCGGTCCTCCTGACTCCAGGGCCTGTGCTTTATTCATTGTGCCACCTAGCTGCCCCTTGGCCCTCTTGCCACTATATCATACTGCTTCTCCTCGAAAGCCCAGACAGGCCAGTATTCAGGCCCCAAGCTCACCTAGTTCCTAACCCTAATTCCTGACCCTTCTGTTCAGGAGAAAAGCTCAATGGCCTTAAAAGAAGACATGGCTAAGAAACTCAAGCATGTGTTAATAATGCATAGACCAGTCCTACACATCAGGCCTCCCCTCTGAGGGATGTTCCTAAGGGAGCCTGGTTACCTATACAACAGCAGCTTGAGAACATGGGAGAGGTTTGTTTTTCAAACCTGAAACACTGTATATACTTCAGTCCCCGAAGGACAAAAATCAGAATAATGTTCTAGTTATTTGTCAAAATCAGATTAAGAATAAAAGTAGCCTCTCCTTTGTTTACTGGGGGGGGGCAGGGGAGAGAACTTGGGAATGTGTCAGAGGGGGATGTCAAGCTGGTTTTCTGAGGAGACCCCAAAAAGTATATAGGCATAGTCAATGTGCTTAGTGACTTAAAGCCTGCCATCACTCCACGAGTCTACTCTCTAGGATCAGGGGTTACATAGAGGGACTAGTAAAGCACTGAGCTCTAACCCACAGGGCCAAAACTGTAGAATTACAGGATCGCAGGAGACCTCCGGTGTTATCTGGTCCAACTCATAACTGAAAAGAATCCCCTCCACAACATATGTAACAGAGAGCTGTGCAGCCTTTGGTTGAAGATCTTCAGGGATGAGTAACTCATTACGTCCTGAGGCAGTCCATTCTACTTTTGGCCAGCTCTGTTTAACAGTTTTTTCTTACATCACATTTCAATGTTTCTTTGCAAAATTCACCCATTTAGAGCTCCCTGTTTTTCCACTGAGATCTCCTCCTTACCCAGTCTTTCTCTTTCAGTTCCAAAGTTCCTTTAACTACCATACAGAATGATTTCCAACCACTTAAAAAAAAGGGAGAGGGATTCTTGGGAATATTATTCTTCACTTTTCTTTCTTCACACAAATGCTGATCACCTGGGTCATGACAAGTATCATTCTTTTAAAGCTACTTGCATGCAACTGGTACACAGGCAGATTAACCTTGGCTTATGGCAGGAAGAAAATGAAGGGAACAAAGCTCTCAGACCTCAGCACCTTCAGGGAAGAATCAGAACCCAGAAAACGTCCCTCACGGTCCACTGCTCCCAAACAAGCTGCCTCAGTGGTGACTTAGCACTGAAGAAGTTGGTCTGCCATCGAGGGAAGGCTGGCGGCATCTCTTGTTCATTCAGTACTCTGCCTTTCACTACATCAGGGAGGCTGGGCATCACATTTCTGACACTCAAAGTATGATTTTTAAAGGGTTAACTACGACCAGATAAAACCAGTCTTGCCTGGGTAAAGAAGGGCATGCTGGGTCCCAAGTTACAGCAGATCTAAATTCCATCTGGCTGAATGTGAATGATTTGAGGTCCTTGTGAGTGCTGTGCAAGAGAAGCAGGGTCAGGGTGGGCTGGAAAAGGTCAAGGAGCCAGACCTGCTCCTGAACACCTGCTAAAAACCTGGATGCATTTTTATTTACTATAGAGGTTAGGTTTTTAAAATCACTCTGACATTTCCTCTCTAGGAAGCTGGATATAAACTCATCCAAGGGGAGACCAAGTCAAATCTTCTTTCCCTAAAGGATCAGAAGCAGAGTGAAGCAGCCCTCTACTATCAACCTGCTTAAGTTGGTGGCAATCTTCTGGAAAGACCTTTCTGCCACATCCTGAATGAGGAGAGAGGATCTAAGGGGAGAGGAGGAAACAGGGTTTTGCTATATCTCTAACTCAAATAATTTTCATTGATTCTGATACCTTCTAACATGATCAAAACCACCATAGGGTAGTACAGAAACACAGGGCCGGGTGACCACTAAAAACCAACAGGCAATGCCTTTTCTTTGGCCTGCTCAACAAGCTAACACCTGCGATTTACAATGTCACTTGTCCCTTTTCAAAGAAGCTACACTGACCTCTGAGTTCCACCCTCCCTCCTCCTTCAGCTTGGCTCTCCTACTCAGTGATCTGTAGACTACTTCTAGGGCTGGGCTTCTGTAAGCCCCTCAACCTGGGGATTCAAAGGAAGGACAAACACCCAATGGAGGAGGACAAGCATGACGTACACAGTTTGGTCCCCCTGCCTCTTTTTTTCCTTTTTAAAGAACCCTAAGTGAACAACAGGAGCACCACAATTCCCAAATATCAGAGAAAGAGCTGCACTGGACTGGAGTAGGTGTGCAGGAGAATTAACAAAACAAAGCAAGCTGGTTTTGGCTTGTTCATAAGGGGCGACAGACATTTCCTGCGATGGTGTTGTCCAGGTCAGGGTCCAAGTGGGGAAGGGAGAGATGGAGGATGGGGGTGGGGTGGGAGTGGGGAGGGAAGAAGGAACTGGGGAGGAGATTGTCTTTAGCCCAAAGGGCAGAAAACAGTGATGGACAGGGAGACAGACGACGGACACGGGACAGCCTGCTTCACCCTCACATGGCAGTGCGTGTGGGAGTACTGGGCTGGTTTAACCTCAGAGTTTTACATAACCAGCCTGCAAAATCCACTTCTTCCACTTCTGACCGCTTGATAAAAGTGTGATTCTGAAAGAACAAATGAAAGACATTAATAAATCTAACAAGCCTTTGGCCCAAAGGGGTCAAACTAAGACTGTCTCTCTGTTTCTTTCTTTGTCAGACTGATTATTTCATCAGCGTAAGGAATTCCTGGAGTAGAAACAGCCTCACCTGACACAGATTAAAAATTCATTGGTCATTTAAGTCTTAAGAAAATCAACTAGGGCACTGAGGGTCTCCTCTAACCCTCCATCTTCGATACCACCAACAAAGAGAAGTCTAAAGAGGAAAAAAAATAAACTGAAAAAAAATCTACATCTTTCCTTTCATTTCATAGATGGAAACACTAAGGATCAATGACTTGCCTCAGAATGTCTACAGCCAAACTTAGTGGGACTGGCACCTTCGTCCCTTGACTCAACTGTGTTCTTTCCACTATATTAAGCTATAAAAGGGGCAGGATTTGGCAAAGAACAGAAATAAAAAGAAGCTGGACTTGGTGGTGCAGAGGGGAGCCACCTGGTGCTCGTGTCACAAACACCACGAGGACTAGCTTCCCAGGCTGATGGGAATATGGGTGCTAAACATGGAGGGGCCAGATTAGCAGGTACCTTCATACTACAGAGGTTCTATCGAGGGAAGATGGTTACCAAGACCATAAGCACCAAGGTTAATCAAAGGGACAGGGCCTTCAGAGAATGCCAATGCCTGGGCATGCTGATTCTACTAACTGGACCTCAGCTGACTCCTCTGTAGGGGGAGACAAAAAGGGAAAAGGAAGGCAAAGAACATATTTACCTCCCTAAGCATGCCTGTGATAACCTGACTTTATAAAATGCTTAAGGGGAGAAACTGAGGTAAAGCGAAAAGATGAATGGCTTAGAGTCTGAAAATTCAGGCTCAGGGCCCTTCCTAGCTGTGAGATCTTAAGTCACACCTCAGAGGGCGGCTTGTCCAATCCATGCCAGAAGAGGAATCTCCTCTCTAATTTCAGCCTCACCTTGAAGCTCTCCAGTGACAAGGAAACCAGCGACCCCTGAGATGCATCAACTTTTGGACAGCTATTAACTTTTTACGCCGTCCTTAACACTGGGTCTGAGTCTGCCTCTTCACCGCTCCCATCTACTGCTGACTGGATCAGCAGATCTTCTGGAAGTTGGTTTGTCATGACCTGTTCTTGAACAACCCTCAGCTGGCTCTTAATGAGAACTGTTTCCCTTGAGAAATGCTCACAAACTATGTCCATTTAAACATACATTCAGAAATCCAGCCAGTAATCAAAGTCATATCACTGACCAACAGTTTGATTACTCCAGGTCAAAAGAACACAGATACAGTGAATTCCTCAACTAATCCAGGAGTCATCCTTCAGAACAAGGACACTCTCAAAGCCAGGCCTTGGTTTTAGACTCACATCCTAAGGAATTGGCCTGAATTATACCTGGTTTGGAGATTAGAAAAAAGGTGAAGAGCCTGACTGGGCCTTCTGCTTCTGCGCAATAAAAAGCCTCTGTCACAGGGTACACCTGACTTCTCTTGGATCTCTTCAGCTCAGGGAAAAGAAACACCCCAGGAGAGTGGGAAGAACCGAATGGGGAGACTCTATGCCCATTAAGAACTATGATCCTAAAGCACTGAAGGTTGCCATTCCTGCTCCCCAACATGAATCAGATACCTACCATCAGCATCTTCAGATCTGCCCTCTCGGCTGGGTTTTTAATTAAGCTGGTATTTTATAAAGGAGAGAAATTGAGAGAGAGGGAAAAAAAAGACCGGTCAGTTATTCTTTCCAAACCTACTTTCACTTAGCTGTGTTATCCTAGAATTTAGTGTATCAGGAAACCTGACCTCGAAGAACAAAACCTGTTCTGCAGCAGCCGTGCAGAGCTGCCGTTTGGGTGAGGGGCCCCAGCATGTTACCAGGGTTTGGAGGGCAGGACCCCCTGAAGGCAGGGAAGGGCTAGGGTCTGAAAACAGGAAGTGATCCCGGAACGGGGGAGAGGGAGGGGAAAAGGGAGGGAAATTCCCACCCTGTGTCCTGACAGGAACTTTAGTTAACAATCTCAGCTACATTTTTAATGATAACTCTCTTCTCAAAATGGGGTATCACAGTTACAAAATGAAAGCTCTACCCTAAAAGCAGAACTGACTACAGACTCCAAATAGCTGCTCAAAGAAAGGACAAAACAATGGTAAATAAGAACTTGCCTAATTGTAAAAATTTTATGCTCAAACTTGCTTAGCTGAAAATAACCACATTAATTTGTCTTTACCCACCTTTTCAGAATAACAGAACAAATGAAAGTGGCTGAAATTCGAACTATGAGATGCCTGGCAAAGGGCTACTGGCCCAACTGCTCAGATTATGTAATGATTTTTGCTGTTAAACTATGCAGAGTTCTCAAAGTGAGGATAAGTTTATAAGAGTCTAAATATTTAGAGGGCTGCATTAAAAAATAAAGTCAACCCTTTCTTCTGACTGAATAGTGAATCATTATGATCACTCCTTGATCCGCAAAGGTATTTTCCCAGAAGGAAACTGCCCCCCCCCCAAATTACTATGGTCAAGTCAACAATTTTAAGCTGGACTTAATAATGCTAGTTATTCTCTAAGACTGAAAAAGGACCAAGAATCTTGCTGTCTAAGAAACCTTAGAAGGGTCCTCTTTAGCACATGCTAGATTATAGGTCTTTGGGGATAAGTTCAATTGTCATTTAGGTCTTTCAGACTGCACTAACTTTTTGAAATAAAACCAGTTATTTCTAAGGTACAGATGATGGCTCTGGACTAAAAGCATGAACTCCCTAGGTCTTCAAGCTCTGGTTAAAGTGTTAAATGATTGTGACCTCAAGCAACTGGGAGAAGAGAGACCTAGGCATCTTATCAAATCCCTAACTCCCAACAGGACTCTTGGCTAGCAGGTTTAGAGCTGTCTGGAAGTAAAAGAGCCATCCCAGAATCAGAAGCAACTGCCCTCTCTCGGTCAATGGTAAGAATCGTGGGCAGATCTCAGGGGACAGACAGGATGCCTGCCTGACAGGCTAACAAACTGGCACCTAGCCCTAACAAGGAAACCATGCTGATGAAATGGATTTGTGGAACTTACCATTTATTTACAAACTCCTGGAAATCTTGTGTGAAAACACCATTCGGCAACTTAGGTGGAGGCTAGGGAAGAAAACGGATCAGTGTGCATCAGTCACAGTAAAATTTTAGCAATATTCTGGAAAAGGAGAGATGAGTGGCACTGAGGTGCACAGAATGTACAGTGAACCACACTTGAACTTGAATCTTCAGGCAGCTTCCTTTGGTTCCCACCCTTGAGCCATTCACTATGAGGAAAGAGGCCACCATCCTTCCTTCATGGTTTAGGTAACTGCTCTCCTCTTGCAACAGCCTCCCAAAGGGAGGGTCGCACCCACTGAGCATGTAATCTATGCCAGTCTCTTCCTTTAGTGAAAAGTTTAGTAATAACAATATTTGTACATTGCTTTATAATTTTCTAATTGTTTTAAAAGGGCCACAAACCATCTCACTAGAGCTTTATAAGATTTCTCTCCTTGGAATATTACATAAGTCTTTTGATCACAGGAATGCCATGTGTCTGGATGGAAAAAAGGGCCAATACATGTTAATAATGGGGGACTCCCAGAATGCCTGGCTAGGTGGACAAAGTGTTGGGGTTAAAAGTGGCACAAGTAAAAGCTCCAATAGCATAAGGTCAACATCTGGTGTGGGAAGCAAATGGAGAAGGCAGCATTATGGTTCAACCTACAGATTAGTCTCCTACTCTCATTTACCTACATCTCTCCGACTCCCAAGTTTAGCAAAGGGAGGACTGGTCCCAGAACCATGGAGGCGGCAGTGGACCTGAGGGGTGCACTCTTGGCTCTTGGTGCCACTGCCAGAGGCAGGAAAAGATATGTCATGGCAGCCCCACCCAACTCAGTTGTCATCTGCTCCTTAAACTGTCCTCCCTGCTTCTCACTTTGTATAACCAACCTCAAGCCAAGCCCAGTGCTACAGACCAGTACTATCACTGACTCTTCTTGCCCATGGCCCTAAGTGGCCACAGGAGAGATACCTAAGGACACAAGGGTCCTGGGACACAACCAGCATCACGTGCCATTCTCGTCTAATCAAAGCAAAGATCCACCCATCACAAAACAGAACAGGAAGTGTTCCACTGGTCAAGGAAAGAAGAGGGGTCTATCTATTCTTAGCTCTTTCAATGATTTACTGAAGGTGAATCACTTCACTTTCAGGCCCTCTTTCCCCGAGGACCATCCTTCTAGGGAAAAAGCAATTATTGAGAAGTTCACGTACACTGGATTCCCAGATGTTCAGATAAGCTGCTACTTTGGAATGATCTATAAAGGAGGTTGGGTTCCTAAGATTCAGTTGGATTGGGACCTTCCAGTTCTAAATTCTATGATATAAAATCAGATGGCACATCATTTCTAGAAATGTGACCCAGAAAATAAACTACTAGGGAAATTCTTACCTGAGGCTTATAAATATGCCCTTCTCTGAAAAGCTTCATGCCAGTTTAGTAGTAAAGAATACAAAATTATTTTCTGTCTCAATAAAACTGCATTAAAATATAGGTTAATTCACTGTTTATTTGGGCAATAGACTAGACACTAGCAAGACGAATTTGATTCAGATGAAGGAAGGAAATTTCAGCGAGCGTACAAACCTCGTTAACAATATAGTCCAATAGCTCAAAGATGGCCATGGCAGGCCGACTGTCCATCCCATGACCTGCAGAGGAGATAAACCGTTGCTTGTGAGATGGGCAGAAAGGACCAAAACAATGAAGCCCTATAAACAGAGAAAAGGTTATAGCTGTTCACACCCAATTTTGGTACCAAAGACAGGCCTGTGCTAAACACATAACAAGCTTTACTCTCCACCCACTGTTAGCTCAAACTGATCTAAATAGGAAAGATCCTTTGGCTCTTTAGCTGGTTCTGACACCGCTGCAGTTTCATTCTGGTCCAGACTCTTCATTTTACAGTTGAAGAAAGTGAAGTCCAGAGAAGAGAAGGGACTTGCCCAAGGTTACACAGTAGAGCTGAGACTCAAATCTAGGTCTCTAAATTTAGTGCTCTTTCTACTTCAACACTCTGTGTATTTGTATAAATGTGTATACACACACACACACACACACACACACACACACACACACACACTTTAAGGAAGTGTCCTACTGACTACAGACCAAGAAAATTCTTGTGACAAGCCCTTTCCTTCTAGCACACTGGGAAGGGGTGCTGACTGCAAGTGGGGGCAACAAACTGCTCGGTGGTCAAGGCAATTGACCCTTGGTGTTGCCAAAATCCAGCAGGGTTCATCAGAAGTTGTCATGCTCAACACTACCAACAAAACCTGACACTCCACAGGGAGAACAGCTCTTGCTTTTCTCCCTCCTGCTCTGAACTGGTCACAGAAGCTCAGTGGGGAAGGCCACTGGAGTCTAAGGGTCAATGGCTTGTAGTGGGACCTAGGCAGGGAGTCAGTGGGTGGCAGACATGGTGCCTCTAAGCAAAGCTGGGACTCTTAACATGAACAAAATCCATTTAGAATTAGGGGCTGGAGGGGCAGTTAGGTGGTGCAGTGGATAGAGCACTGGCCCTGGAGTCAGGAGAACCTGAGTTCAAATCCGGCCTCTGACACATAATACTTCCCAGCTGTGTGACTCTGGGCAAGTCACTTAACTCCAATTGCCTCACCAAAAAAAGGAAAGAAAAAAAAAAGGAACTGGGGACTGGGATAAATGACTGAGGAAGAAGCAAACGTTAAACTGGAGGGAAAAGACTGTTGGGAACATAAAGCCCCAAATGGATTAACAATATCTTGAGTTTTCTGAGGAAGCTGACATTGACACTGAGAAAAATCTAGACTTGAAGCCCATCCCTTTAGGTGATCAAACTCCTATGTAAAAACCACACTTTCCAGTCATGTCCTAGGGCTGTGTTCTAATCCCCTTTATTCCACAGAGTAGCTCACATTTCCGTAGTGTTTTAAAGTTGACAATGGGCTTTAGAAACGTTTTCTGACTCCATTTTCACAAGAAGACTGAGACCAACAACACAATTAACATTATAAGTATTTTACAGTTGACTGTGCAGAGACTGTAGGTTTTTTGCACTTCTTCATGTTCCTAGGGCCTGGAACATAAAGTGTTTAATAACTGCTTGATGAATGACTGAAATTAAAACGTGGGCTCATAAATGAAGTCACATAGCTAAAAAGTGGTAGAGACACGATATAAACCCAAGTCAAGTCTGCTTTGGTATATTTTCAACTGGCCCTTTCCCTATGGCCTCTACAGCACTAAACATCCTTACCACTTTAATTCTACTTCCAAAAGCCCTTTTGGTTCAAATACAGCATAAAAACAAATCGGTTAAGATGACTTCCCAAGTCTCACAAGAAAATCAGTCTCATCTTCCATGTACTGGCTGTGTGGCCCCTGAACAAGTCTGCCTTTATCATCACCTCAGTGTTTTCATGCATACCGCCTGCCTGACACAATTTGCTATTCTTATAGGATCATTGTGAGGAAAGCGCCTGGTAAATCTTAAGATGCTACAGAAACATGAGTTTCTACACCTCATGGACTGCTACCCATTCTCCTAGCCACCTTTCGTTTTGGGGGCTATTTAAAAATGACCTGGCTGAAAAGACAGCTTTCTGGTCCCTCCAGCAAGGGTAACTAAATTGGTGCCAAAAGATACAGTCAGACAAAGTACCACTGGGTTGGGAATGATTCAGCTGTCTCTTAACTTCCCAAGAAATCTCATCTCAAGCCGAAAGTTCCTGCTGGGGGAAGCTACCACTGCTTTTCCTGTCTAACGAGGGGGTAAGCTACCCAGAGTCCTGAAAGCTGATCTCTATTGCTGCATCTATCTCTCAACTATTAAACCAAATGCTATGCAGAAACAGAAAACTGTCAATGCTACCACAGTGGGGTCCAGGACACAAGACCTCTTCATTGAGTTTCAAATGTCTACCTCCAACTAGTGGCACCTCAAACTAATCTTAATATCTAAACTGGCTCCATGCTCTGACTTAAAGTTGTGACTTTTCCCCTCCCCTCCCATATTCAATCAACCAAATCCTGTCAATCAACTCCAATTCCACCTCTGTGACAACTCTGCCACCCAATGCCACTGCCTTGGGATCCTGCACGTATAGATTCTACATGTAGTAGGGTAGAGCACTGTTCTTGGAGTCAGGAAGACCTGAGTTCAAACCCTGCCTCAGACACTTAGAGCTGCATGGCACTGGACAAGTTATTTAACCTCTCTGCTACTCCAAAACAAGAAGGTGGGACTCTATGGCTTCTCAGATCCCTTTAAGCACTAGACCTATAATCCTATTCTATGTCTTCCCATTTCTGCTGTCTCCCTGCTTCAATTCATTCTTTTTTTTTTTTCAATTCATTCTTCCAAGCAGGTTCTATTGCTTACCAAATAAAGTTCAAACTCTTCTGCCTGGCCCTCAAGTCTTTCCACAAACTTGGACCACCTGAACTAATCAAGCCACGCACTCCCTATGTTCTACACTGCAGTCGACCTAGTAACTATACCTGACCCCTAACTGCTCTGTGCTCTCCACACTGCTCCTGAGATTTCTCCCTCTACTTCTTGGAGAGGATGAAGTGCTATTCATCTTGGAAAGCCCATCTCATACCACTTCCTTCATGAAGCCTTTATTGACCCCCACCTCCCCACTCCCATGAATAAAGGCACTTCCTCACTGGACCTGATAGACTGTGTTTGTACCTTTGTAATGCATTGATATAAGGTGAATTACAGTTACTTCTTTGTGTGTCTTTTCCCTGCAATAGATACAAGGGCAAGGACCACATTAATTCACTCATTTTACCCCTTCAGTGGGCAGACTGCTTTTAATATCATAGTTACTGAATGCTGACTGCCTGAATGAGATATTCCCCAGATTTTCCACTACCCTTCCAAGGTTAAAGGCCCAGACCATACCACTGATGGGGCGTCCTGGGGGTCGTGGCCGTGGCGAGATGCTGTGAGGTTCTCCCTCTGCCCCTTCGACCATGGGCCGACCAAATATCGCTTCTAGTTCCTTGGAGTCTGGTGGGGGAATCGGATACCGTCCAATGGACAGCTCTACTAGGGACAGGCCCATGCTCCAGATATCTGACTGGACTGAGTAGTGGGTGCCTTGTAACCGCTCCGGCTGTTAGTTGAGAAAAAGACAAAATGCCTCAGTGGAGAGAAAATGGAGCTGGAAACCATCAGGTGGCAAGACAGGTTCTTTTTTTCCTGATGAAAACTCTGGTATTTTATAACATTGTTCAATCTCTTTAATATCACATAAGCAGAAAAATTAGCATCAACCCTGTTCCAAACCACAAGCCCATCTTCTAATATTAAAGACCAAAGTGAAGGCAACAAAGCAATTCTTCCTCCCCTCACTCCCAAACTCCTTAATTTCCCCACTACCTGTGGGTTAATTAATTCTCAGGGGTAGAGTTACTTTCATGCACATTGGGATAGACAAATTTCAATTCCCTGTCAATTAGAGCCCCATCTATGGCTTAGAATCCTTTATATTCTCAGGGATGACAGATTCAAAGAAAAGCATGCTCCCTGCTTCTTCCCCCTCCAGAACTTATACACCCTGGAAAATTCACTACGTATAAAATACAACAGGATAAGACAGGGTAAAGATTGCTGGGTACTTTAGGGGGTAGAGTTCCTTACTTTTCCAGGTTCAACTCTGCCCTTTCCCCTTAAGTACATGACACTTAAACCAAACTGTACTGTTCATTATTCCTGAAACGCATCCTGCCCTCTCGATGCTCTGTGACTTTGCCTAAGCCTACAATGCCATCTCCTTGCCCGCTACCCAAACCACTAAATGACATCCTACCTATCCTTCAAGAAGAACCCAGCTCAAATGCCCCTGATACTCCTGGGGCAGAAGTGATTGTTCCCTCCTTGGTCCTCCCCTGATCCCAGTTCCGGCCAAACTGGACTATCACGTTCCATTCAGCAGGACAGGTATTGGTGCATGTAGAATATACACCCATACAGGACAGTCATCTCCATGTTGACAGGGATTGTGTCTTACTCATCTGTGGATTTCCTAATGCCTAGTAGAGTGCTCTGAACACTACATATTTAATTGAAATGAAATGAAAGAATAGTAGTGAGGTCTTGAAAGTTTATTATGTAAGACATAAGACACCCCCTGGGTAGGGCATAAGGAGGTTATGCTGCTTGTCTCACAGATTTCTCATAGAGTAGATCTTGTAGCTCGACTGTCTTTGAACAATTCATCAAAGTGGTTCTATGTTAAATGGTAAAGAAGAAGATTGCTAAAATTAGCAAGAAATCCACTTGTAAAGGCCCGGATCACCAAACTAGTTTACCTTGTAGCAAAGACAGAGAAGTCAACAATCACAACTGCCAGTCTCAATTTGATCTTTATAAACAGAAGACTAAGGAGGCATTTAAAGTTGAATGAAAATATTAGAGGAGGAGAAAAAAATTCAGAATTACAGTGGAAAAGAACAGAAACTCAAGGAAAAGGAATTACAAGAAAGCTGGAAGAAACATAATTAATATGTTTTGTCCAAAAGTATTCAACAAAAAAGAAGGTAGAAAGGATCAAATTAGGAAGATTTCTATTAAGGCTGAATTAATACTTATTCCTACCTGGTAAAGCTACTTCACTGCTCCCTTACTGCCCACTGAGTAAATTTCTTTGCTTAGCATTCAAGTTTGGCTCAATCTATGCTCCAGACAAGCCAGACTACTCACTGTCACCAACATACAACTTGCACTTTTTCCTTCCACACTTTTGCTCATGACATTCCTAATGCTTACAATGTCTTCTCCTTGCCCTGATTAATTTCCTAGTGTTGTGTAAACATGAGCTATCATTAAGCCCAATTCAAATGCCATTTCCTCCATTAACTCATCCCTGATCTTCCATCAGTAACAACTTTCTCTCCCTTGAACCCTTTTGTTTATGTTTCATAGTTAATTTGTGTTTGTGTCTGATCTCTCTAAATCTATAGCCCTGCGTCTGACTATTTCATAATAGACTGTAAGCTCCGTGGGGTCATGGACTACAGCTTATCTGAATCTTTTAGCTTTTCTAGCAATAAATACAGGGTCTGGCACAGACAGGTGTTTAATACAACTATTTGCTGCAAGTATCAATCAAAATAAACTTACAGACATGTAGGATCGGGTTCCTACAAAGGAATTTGCCATAGAGTCGATGAGTTGCCCACTCACTCCGAAGTCACAGAGCTTGATCTCTCCCCGAGTGTTGACCAAAATATTAGAAGGTTTCACATCTAAAAGTGAATCAAGACAAAGATATCATATTAGCAACAGCATCTGAGAGCAGCTGCCAAATGGAGCCTGAGGATAAGTTCCAGAGAGGGCTGCTTCATTTCCTTCTTACCTCTGTGCATAATCTGGTGTTTCTCTCTTAGATAAGCCAAACCCCGAAGAACCTATGAAACACAGAGGGAAGGGCAGACTTAAGAAGAGCAGAGGATTTTCCTCTCGATAGATGTATCCAAACCACATGTTCACTTTGTGCAACTCTAGTGCTCTTAGGCCTGGTAAATTAGATTGCTGCCCTTTTTGTTTTGAGGAGGGAGAAAGGGAGAGGTACAGACCTGGGATTTCATTGGTGTATGGCAGTCTTAATGTGGAAACTCTCTCCATTATGCAAAAAGGCAACTCATCCGCAATTTACAGTCTTAGAGCTCTCTGGGGCGGTCCTGAACCCAAATCTTCCTAAATCCCAAACCAGACTTCTCCCTCCTCTGTCACACATCTCTACCGACCCCATCGCTCAAGTTAGAGCTGGAAGAGCCCTTCAAGCTAACCTAGGGCAGCCCCTCCTTTTACAGATGAGGAGTGCTCTGCATGAGGTAACACAATCAATCGTAAGCCGCAGAGCCAGGATCTAAAGCCAGGTCTTCTAACTCTAACCCCAGTGCTCTTTCCATGATGTTACCTCCTGCCTCTCCTCTGGTGCAGGAGGCCCCAGAGATGAACGCACAGGCCTCTGGGCCTGTGGAAGCAGGACATTGTCTCCATTAGGGAGGACTTTGCCCAGGCCCAACATGCTAGTAATCTTCTCCAGGTGGACTCTGGGATGGGGTGGCCCAGTAACAGGAACAGCCTAACTCTCTTCAGCCAGCACTCACCATAACAGTACCTTTCACCCAGGTGATACAGTGCAGGAGAGACCTGATGAGGTCAAAATGACATGTCTACAGGGACCAAGCAGCCCTGGAAGTTGCCAGTTCGGGCCAAACGTTGGTACCGAAACCACTCAAAATAACAGCAAAGTAAGATCATCCATGCAGGGAAAGCCTGATGGCATGATTGTCTTCTCCCTGAGACTATGTCTGCCTTTTATGATCTGTTCAATTCTGTATCCTCTCTATCACCTCCTCTCACCCCCCTCAGGCACTTTGCCCAAATTCTCCCCATGGAGTATATAATATTGGGTGAGAGGTGGAATAACCAAAGGTTACCTTTAAGGTGTGCTCTACAGACAGAGCCTTGTGAACCAACAATTTCCTAATTAGAAAATGCCATTACCCCACCATGTAAGTGTGCTAGTTTCAAGCTCTTTGAAGGCAGTAACTGTGTCACAGTTATCTGTTTTTCCCAAAGTGCACATAGAAGGTAGTCAGTAAATACTTGAACTTGAAGGATCATTATAAAAGCAGCCAAGAATCCTCACTGGTCCCTTTGTTATTCAAATCAATCAAGATGAAAAAAGTGATATTACTGAAGAGCATTACCTACTGGGTTAGCTTTAACATTATGCTTAGCAAAATGATGGTATTCAGAAAATGAGAGAGGGTACAACATGCTACTGAGTTCTGAAAGGATTAACAGGTTTGGTGGAATTTTTCCCCCTAATCACTAGATTAGTCTAACAAGGACCATGTATTCTAAAATCCTGCATGGAAGGGAATAAAGCCTGAGCTGTCTTTCATCTCTGTTGGATCCTATAAAAGGCTTTTCTGGTGATGGGGGTGGGGAAGAGACAGGCTGGGGAAAAGGAATAAGAAGCCTCTGAACTTGAAATACTACAAGCTGCCAGCATGCCTTTTCTTCTCTGGCTTGCCCGTAGGATTCCCTGTAGGATTCCCTGTCACCAAACACTCCAATGTCTCCACATAAATACTTCCCTGATATAGTGCGTCCTGTTCCATCAATCACAGAGTGTCAAGGGTAGCTTTTTACCACAAAAAGTTCAAGCACTCCCTGCTATGGTAGAGGACGGCAGCAATGGTTTCCTACAGGTACCATCTAGTGTTTTAAACAACAAATCAGAAAGCTAGTAGAGACCTTAAAAGCAATCTACTTCAATACCTTTGTTTTGCAGATGTGGACACCGAGGGTCAAAAAGATCAATGACTTGCCCCAGACCTAGTCACTGACAGAGCCAGAATCCAGATCTCCACATGCCAAATCCGACGAACGATCTTACTCTTCTATCACACAAATATATACGAAAGATTCAAGTTGCCTTTTGATTTTTGCCAGATGGAAAGAATGAAATCGAGAATAGGTATTCAATGCAAATCATTGTTATTTAAGAGTGAATGCTACTGGGGCAGCTAGGTGGCACAGTGGATAGAGCACCAGCCCTGAAGTCAGGAGGACCTGAGTTCAAATCCCAGCTCAGACCAAACACTTGACACTTACTAGCTGTGTGACCCTGGGCAAGTCACTTAACCCCAATTGCCTAATTAAAAAAAAAAAAAGACAAAAAAGAGTAAACGCTACTAACGGAGAGGAACATAAAGAATATAAACACAGCGTTTAAACACCTAACAACCCCTCCAGGAATCAGGAATGCCTAAAACCTAAAAGGTCAGATTCCATTTGCAAAAACCCAGAAAAGGAAAACACTTACCGCAATGCTAACTTTCCCCAAGATTTCTTCAGGAATTCTCTTGGCCTCTTTCAATACTTGATCCAGAGAGCCTCCATCCTAAATCCCCAAAAGAAAAGAGAAAAGTCCCTGTCAAGACAGCCACGAAGTAGCTACAGTGTTTTTCCCTTTTGGCTTGGCAACACTGAACCTTAATTTCCCAAGGGAACACCCTGGTGGCAAGCATAAAAATTAAGCATTTCCCCGGTTCACTGCAAGGTGTTATTCCACTTCCTCTATAGGAAATATGAACAACTCACGGCCAAACACACCAGCAAACTGAAGGGCCCCTTTAGTCTGTCACCCTTGTAAGATCTCTATGTACACAAACACGTTTGCACCATGAAAGGGAAGAAACCAATGCCAGCAGAGAAGCTTTGTTCTTCCCTGGGCCTGGGCATCATTTATTTTAGTTCATGTTCCTCTAGCGCTTTAGCACCTGGCAGGGAATTCTGCTCATTTGGAGAGCTCTGACACTGTAGTTAGCTCAACTAGAAGATGTTAAGACAGACAAGTAGTGCAACAGAAAAAACTGGCCTCTGTCCTATATGGGCAATGTGGAAAACTAGCTGCTGACTGCCAGGCTTGGAATGAGAACAGGTGTAAACATAGCAAGAGGAAGGCCAACAGCCCCTCCCCCAAATCTTTAGGAAAAGTTGGTAGGAGGAATGCATCTAGCTCCAACAGCCTTCTGTATACTGAGGCAGAGGTGGTGGTGGTGGTGGTGGTGGTGGTGGTGGTGGTGGTGGTGGTGGTGGCGGCGGTGGCGGCAGTAGCACTAACTTCCTCACTGTTCCTTGCCATTCTACACATGTTGCCCAAAAGAATTTTTGTAAGACAGGGAATGCAGGTGTCATTATCATCATTTTACAGATGACAATGTTAGATTAGACAAATTGAATGACTTGCCCATGGTGAATTAAAAGTCAATTCAACAAATATATATTAAGTACTACAACATCACAGAAAGCTCTGCAGTCAGAGGACTTGAGTTCAAATACCATTTTAGACCCTACCTATATGACCTTGGTTAAGTCACTCGACCTCATTAGGCCTCAGTTTCCTCATCAATAAATCTCGAAGACTAAAGTAAATGGCCTTGGGGGTCTCTTTCAGTTCTGTATCTATCATCCTGAGTGGCACAGCAAGTGGACAGAACACTGGAGTCAAGGAGATTCAAATGTGGCCTTAGACACTTACTAGCTGTGTGACCCTGCACAAATCACTTAACCTGTGTTTGTCTCAGTAAAATGAGAATAATAATAGCACCTACCTGCCAGGGCTGTGATGAGGATCAAATAAAACAACCATAAAGGGTTTTGGCACAGAGCATGACACCTAGTGCTATATAAATGGTGGGTATTATCATTACCCTATGAAAGACCAAAAAAGGAGGCATCCAGTCACAGAACTAAAGTAAGGGATAAATATATGGATTCTAGTACACACAAAACACTAAAAGGACCTGAAGGGGTAGATCCTCTCTGGAGGAACTACAGAAAAGAGAGAGAGTGAGAGAGAGAGAGAGGGGAGGGGGAGGGGGGGAGAGAGAGAGGGAAAGAGGGAGAGAGAGAGGGAGGAGAGAGAGAGAGGGAGAGAGGGAGGGGGGGGAGAGAGGGAGGGGGGGAGAGAGGGAGAGAGAGAGAGGGAGAGAGAGAGGGGGAGAGAGAAGGGGAGAGAGAAAGAGAGGGAGGAGAGAGAGAGAGAGAGAGAGTGTGTGTGTGTGTGTGTGTGTGTGTGTGTGTGTGTGTGTGTGTGTGTGTGTGTGTGTGTGTGTATAGATGATGAGCACCTATGCCGATGTGACCATAAACCCAATGAAATGTACTGGAGAGGCAATGCTGCAAAGCAGAAAGGGCCCTAGACTTGGAGGAAGAAAGCCATGCTTCACAGGATTTCCAAGAGGCCTTCTCATCCTTTCTCTAACTGTCCAGGTTGAAATCCCTACAATGAACTTACTAGCAGTGTGACTGCAAGTTACTTAATCTTTCTGAAATGTCAGTTTCTTCATCTGCAAAATGGAGTTAACCATATTTGTAGTACCTACCACACTCAGCTGTTGGGAGTAAAGTACTTTGCAAACCTTAAAGTTCTTGTGATCTGTATTTATTATCGCTGTCACACAGTCAGTGGCAAAGCTGGACCATTAACGCAGATATGACCCTGAATTTAGTGCTCTTTAATCAATGCCTCACATAAAAGCTGGGGGTCTGAGGAAAAGGGAACTAAGGAGAATGTTTCTGGAGGAGGTTTAGCCTCACAGAACGCACACCAAAGGAAACTGCTGTCTCAAAGGTCAGGATCTCTTCCTGACGACACCTTCCTAGCTCTATGCACAGAGACACATTCCCTTCTGTATTTCGTTTTCTCCCTTGTAAAATGGACATACTATCTTGCCTTCACATTAGACCAGCCTCGAGAAAGGGAAGGGATGCTCATCACCAGAGGACTGGCTGCCAATTGACAACGATTTCCATCACAGCACTTCACAAGAACCAGCTACTGAGTCACTGGAGATGGCTCTATCAGTAACAGAATAACCACAACTGGGAACTGAACCGGATGATCTACACAGTACCTTCCAACTTAAAGACTAACAAAATCGCAGATCGTTAAGGAGCGTAAGGGCAGATGAGGCCTGGTGGGTAACTGCTTGGAGCTTTGCCAAAGACAGACACTAGAGAACCCAAGCACTGTTTCTATTGTTATGATAAAGCAACTGCATGTCTCACGTGCCCACCACCTTGCATCTGCCCAGTACAGAAATACTTTCCAAACTATGCTGACGTGTATCATCTCCACTGATCCTCACCACCCCTATGGGTAGGGCAAGTCGTATTATTTCCAACTGGGAGAAAAGAAAACCGTCTCAGAAGTAGCAGCGAAGTGGCCTGGCGAGGTTAGGAAGCTAATAAATGAGCCCCTATGGGGACCGAGGCTGCTGGTCATTTGGCTCAGGTTCTCGGCACTCTGCTGCACTGCCTCCCCTCACAGGTACCTTCATGGGAAACTTTCCCATCATCCCTAGTGCACGGGCTATTTCCATTCCACGAGAAATCCAGGTCAACATCATGTCCATCAGAGAACTGGACATTTTGTTTATTAAAAACTTACAACTTCCATGATCTCTAGCTCCCACCCGTACAGCAATTTTCTCCTCATTATAGAATCACAAAATGGTAAAGCTGGAAGGAACCACAGGGATCATTGAGTCCAATTCCTTCATTTTGCAGGAAAAAAATAAACCAAAGGCCAAAGAGAACATACTGGCATTTCACAAAGGCTTCAAAAAAGTGCTAAGATGCCCAAGGTCAGTGGCAAAGTCAGGACTTAGCTAGACAGCACAGTGTAGCAGAAAAAGCAGTAACCTGGAGTCGGGAGACCTGGCTCTATTATTCACCTCTGATATTTACCAGATGTGTGACCTTGGACAAGTCAGTTCACCTCAATATATGTCTGGGGGAAGTATTTGTAGAGTGACAAAAAAAATACATAAATAAGTATACATAGAATAAATACAAAGTAGTTAGAAACCTAACACTGCTCATAACCTCAATTTCCTTGCTTACAAAAGGGAGATAATTCTTCAGATTACCTACTTCATTCTGTATCTACCTTCCCTAGGTAGTGAGGAAAGTGCTTTGTAAATTATAAACTGTTATATTAACGAGGGGTTTTCTTACTCTGGAGAGGCAGCATGGTATAGTCCATACAAAACCAACCTAAGGGTTCAAAAAACCTGGGTTCAAGTCTTGCTTCTGACACACACCAACTTTATAACCCCAGGCAACGCAATGAACATTCTCAATGCCCTATACAATTCTCTAAAACTTGGTTACAGATGTACTGATTTGCATCTGTAGAGGGAGTTTCCCACATCAATGAAATCAAAGGTTCAGAAAAAAATGTCTAAGTCTCCTGTATTAAGCTCCTCTAAGACATCTACAACGGGAAAATCTATGAGAGGGGATCACCTAAAAATAGTAACAACCACACTTTGAGACTTCAGGAAAACAGTCAGCCAGACTACAGGCCTTTATCAACTAGTGCCTACTCTGTGTTGGGCACTATGTTAAGCAAAAATCACGGAAACCCTCAAAGAGCTATATTCCACACTTACAAATGACATCTCTCTTTTGATGTTAAAAGCTGTCAAGGGGGCAGCTAGGTGGCTCAGTGGATAGAACACCAGCCCTGAAGTCAGGAGGACCTGAGTTCAAATCCGGGCTCAGACCAAACACTTGACACTTACTAGCTGTGTGACCCTGGGCAAGTCACTTAACCCCAACTGCCTTAAAAAAAAAAAGCTGTCAAGAATGGCAAGGAAATATATCTAGGCGTGGGTATGGATGAAAAAACCGAAATACAACCAACTCGAACAAAACCTAGAGCTAGAGGTATGGAGGTGTTCAGGGAAGGCTGGTTTGAGTAAGGCAGACAGTTATGTATTGTTTTTAAGTCCTATTTCCTCTAAGGGTGAAAAAGACTGTACCAAGAGGCTTGTGAAACCACCCAGGCCCCATCCAAAGGCTCTACTTGCACTCCTGGCTAGCTTCTCACACTAGGCAGCTAGGTCCTTGAGTAAGGACTGCTGGTGGGTCCCACTGACACCCAAGGGAGGCGACATGAGAGGTGGAAAGAGGCCAGGAGAAGTAGGCCAAGCCCCAGAATCCCCATTTACTAGCCATGCTCCATTTCTCTAATATTCAACGTCCATAACTGTGAATTGGGGAAAACAATGTTTGCATTACTTAGAATTTTAAAGGGTTTGAAATCTGTGGCCCCAGATGCCCTCACCCAGTCCTAATCCATGTTGTATGCAAGACCGGTTCTATAGAACCAAGAAAGCAAAACAGATGCAAAACAGGAGTCAGGAGATGGGCTCAGCTCAGCAGTAGCTGTGTCACCTTGGGCAAGTCACTTCCTCCTTCTGGGTCTCAGCTTCCTGCTCTGTGGAAGGCAGGACAGAACTAAATGTTTTTGGTTCTTAAGGTTAGTGTAGGGAACAAATCTGATCACGTGACCTCAGGTGAAGTGCTTCCCGTACATGAGCTTCAGTTTTCTCATCTGTACAATGGGAAAAATAAAACTTATTTCTTAGGGTTCTGAGTCTTAAATGATGTACAGTAGGTAAGGCACTTTGTCAATAGGGAAGTGAAGTGCTCTATGTGTCAGCTCCTATCATTACCATTAATAATGGTGAGCAGCAGCCCTGGACACTGAGGTCACTTTGCCCACTAACCTTTTCTGGAGATCTTATCTATACACCAGCCCTGAAATGACTCATTCCCGGTCCAGCCCAGTTAAGCAGGGCCATGGGAAAAGTGGGAGAGAAGGAAGATCAATTCTCCCATACCATATTCCAAAAGCAGACAACAAGGGGGCAGGAATCAGTGATAGAATGCAAAGGTAAAAAATATGATTCCTGTAAGTAAGTTGTCTAGGAATTTTCTACTGTAAACATTGTCATTAGCAAAGAAGGTAGTGAAGAGCAAATGTTTCAGGGGCTAATAATGAGAGTTTTTAGGGCTAAGCAAGCTTGAGCCTAATGACAATAGGTAAAAAGCACCAAAATGGTCAGAGCACCCCTGGAACAACTATCTCCCACAAAACAGTCACTTCCACATTGTGTGACAATGTTGCCTGGGAAAGAGGAGGCCGTTACCAGGAACCAAACCTGTCAAAGCATTAAGCACTATTTAAAAGCAAATGCTTTATCAGTACTTAAAAAGACAAACAGAAGGGGGGGGGCCCTAATTCACAAGAATTACAAGCATGACATACCATGAATGCTTTATAACACATGTATTCAAATTACTTCAAAGAATTTGGTAATTAGAAGAGACCCAAAAACATTTAGTTCTGTCCTACCTTCCACAGAGCAGGAAGCTGAGACCCAGAAGGAGGAAGTGACTTGCCCAAGGTGACACAGCTACTGCTGAGCTGAGCCCATCTCCTGACTCCTGTTTTGCATCTGTTTTGCTCTCTTGGTTCTATAGAACCGGTCTTGCATACAACATGGATTAGGACTGGGTGAGGGCATCTGGGGCCACAGATTTCAAACCCTTTAAAATTCTAAATGGGAAATTATCTGCTTTAGACCTGGAAGAGGCCTTTGGCATCACCTTGCCCAGGTTTCTTATTTTGCAGAAGTTAAGTGACTTGCCCAGGGCCAAAAGCAATCAAGAGCAAAGCCTGGCACTGGAACCCAAGCCCTGCTCTGCCTCCAAACCCCCTGTTCTTTCTACCAGGCCATACTACTTTCTATCAAAAATACTTCTCACATTCAAGCAAGTTTTCAGTATAGGAAGACAGGCTTAATTTTTCCATTCTGCCCCCAAATTTCCAACCTCTGCTTCATCCAGGGCCTGCACCGTATATTCAGACTTTGGGAAGACGAGGAAGTGAGACAATTATTTATTGGTTCTGCCAACACAGTTCAAGCCCAAAAGCGTCTTACAGCTAAATAAGTTTAGGAAATACCACGCTGCCTTTCTTACCCCAATACCATAAAAAAGACAATGTTACATTAGTGTACATAACTCTTAAACTTAACCAAAGCTGGATTTGGAGTCAGAAATCTGCTCTGGGTTCCATCTCTAATACTTACAAGCTATGTGATAATGAAGCAAGTATTTACCCTCTCTGACCCTCAGTCTCTTCCCCTGTAAAACCAGGATCATATTATCTACAATACCACCGCCCCCACAAAGGTTGATGGGAATAAAAAGCTTCATAAATTATAAAGCGCTCAAGAAATGTGAGCTAATATCATCACGCCAGTCAAGCCCCAGAGGCCTTCCACAGCTGTCCTTAGTGGCAGATGCAGAGTAAGACAGGCTGTTGGGTGTGGGGGGTGGTAGGGAGAGTGGTGTTTCAGCATTTCCTCCTAAGGGCTTTAGTTCTGACCACTTCTGCTTTTGACATCTCTGCCTAACTTTATATTTTCCAAATTAACCAAGGAGTTCTTAGATCAGAGAGCAGGCAGAAGCACCTCTCCTAACTTACATTAAACAATGGCTTTTCCACAAGCCACTGACATCCTCATTAAGGATTTCCACTCGCCTTCCCAGGGCTGGACTCACCATGTGCTCCATGCAGATGCTGATCTCTCCGTCGCTATAAAAGGCACCATAGAAACCCACGATGTATGGAGAGTTGCATTCATGTAGGACTTGGAGTTCACGGATAATCTGGTTCCGGATTGCTGGTTTGATCTCTAGGTGAATCAACTGCAAAGTGACAAGAATTTAATTCAGTGAATTATACTCATCAAGCATATAGAAAGTAGGCAAAATCCCTACCCTAGAATCCAAGTAATGCTGATGAACCACTTCAACTTTAGCACACTTACTGCTCCTATCTACCAGGCTCTTCTCTACCTTTATTTTGCAGCATGTCTTATGGAATACCAACACCTTTTCAGGGGTCAGGCTAGGTAAAGACAAGTTAGAAGGACAGAGAAGAGAAGGTGATGGCATCAGAATGTCCCAGTAATTCTATCACCTCTGATCCTTCATCAAACAGGGGGTTTCACACAGACAGAATGCCAAGGGAGTCAGGAAAACCTGAATCAAATTTGGTCTCGGACACTTACTCACCACGTGACCCTGGACATATCATTTAATCTTTGTTTGCCTCGGTTTCCTCAACTGTAAAATGGGGATAATAAAAGCACCTACCTTCCAGGGCTGTAAGGATAAATAAGATGACAGTCATAAAAAGCTTAGCAAAGTGTCTGGCACAAAGTAAGCGCTATATAAATGCTAGTTATTATTATTAAAACCACCACCTATGGCCTCAGGATGTTGCAAACGGGTGTTGCTTTTGCTGACTATATGAATTTTGGATCTTAGGGTTTTGCAATTTGGGGGCAGAATTAAAAGAGTCAGTGTCTAGGACTAGGCAGGCAATGGTCCTTCAGAATTCTGTCCTGGTCAGACAACATCCGTACCATTGTGTTCACTTGTATGCACTCCATTTTAGGAAAGACACTGATAAGCTGCAGAGCATCTGGATGAAGGCAACCACAACAGTGAAGTCCTGAAATCTGGACACATGAAGATTGCTGAAAGAACTAGGGATGTCTGTCTCACAGAAGAAAAGACTCTGAGGGGATACCATAGCTGCTGTTGTCTTTGAAGGCTGCCCTGTGGAAGAGGGATTAGACTTGTTCAGCTTGGTCCCAAAGGGCAAAAGTAGGAGCAACAGGTAGGTATCACAAAATTGTAAATTTATGTTTGATATAAGGAAAGGCCGACCACTGGAATTATTGTCAACTAGAATGGGCTGACTTGGGAGCTAGTGGTTTGTCTTCCATCTTTAAGCAAGGGCCGGAGGTCTCTGACGCCAGGCATGTTGCAGAGAGGATACTTATTCGATACATGCTGGTCTAGACAGCCTCTGAGGTCCCTCCCAATGCTGAGATTCTGTGACCTTATGGGCCTTCTCTTTGGCCTTAATTTGGACAAAGCTTTAGCAGTGCTACTATCAAGCTAGGGCACAGAGGGAAGTAAGGGGAGGGATGGGGGAATAGGGAGGGAACCTGGGGGGCCCTCAGAAAGGCATCATCTGAGGATCAGGAGAGGGAACTGAGGAGACCAGAGAAGACCTGGGGTACATAACTTTTGTCTTCAGGTATCTGAAGGACTGTCAGGAAAGGACTGGACTTAGTCCATTTGGCTAATGATGGCAGAACCAGGAACAAGCAGTGGGAAGGCTTTATTCTTTGGAGGCATGGAAGATCTCTGCTTTAGATAACCCCTGAGGCTCCTTCCAGCTTTTTATATGTTAAAGGCCTAATATCTGCCTACTTGCACCCACACTATTCATCTGACCCTTCCAGACCTTTTGCTCGTTTATCTGACCCTTTGTGTCCACCTGACCCATAATTTTTGCCAAATTCAACCAGCTTCCTCACCCCAACTCAAGTCTAGTCCCAGTGACACCTGTGCCCAGCAAAACAGAGATGGTATACACTAAACTAATAGTTCCCAATTTGTGGATTGCAGAGTTTTTGTAAAGTATTCCCAAATCCGTAAATATAACAACACACCTTCCGTGGACTGCATAAAAGTTTCATGTTCACATATGCTACTGCTTTTCAAATGTGTGTAAATGTTATTGTGATGAATATACTATATATTAATTTAAAATGTCACTGAAATCACAGGGGTTTTTGTAATCAGTATTTTCCTAATCAACAGATACATAGTAAATCTACCATTCCTTGGCATTAAAAAGGGGTCCTCACACTTGCACTAGAGATGCATTAGAGATCACAGGCTCACAGATGTAGAACTGGAGGTACCTTGGATGTCATCTAGTTCGTTTCTCTTATTTTTACAGAAAAGGAAAGTGGGAGCCAGGGAGAGAAAATTATTTGATTGGTTCAAACCCTCGTTTGAACAAAGGAGACAGAAGTCACAGATGAATCAGTGAATGAATCAAGGGGAAGGTAAGAAAGCAAGTTACCTGGATGGGAGGAGTATTTTAGACATCTGTTTTACTGATGCCTTAAAAAAAAACCCAAACGCCAGTCATTTCCTAATATGCCTCACCCCTGCCCCATCGAACCCTTTCTTTGTAACAAAGGAAAACTGTTGAGCAAAGTCAAACTGACAATGTGACCATTACAGGGTATGCAACATTCTGTCCTCGAGTCCTCTAAATCTGAGAGGGGGGAGACTTGCTCTGCTATCTATTCTTGGAGTTTGGGTGCCATTTCCTATTACTTTAATGAACATTACTGTAGTCAATGTTTATTGTTTTGTTTTATTTCTGCTTGAGGATACTCTACTCTGCATCATGCACTGCATCAGTACATGTTTCTCTGAATATCTCACATTCAACATTCCCTAGAGTGTGATGATATTTCCCAAGAAACAAGCATTTAGGAAGCACCAGCTCTGTTGCCATGTGCCAGGACAGCAAGATCAAAAAAGGAAATATACCTGCTTTAAAGGAGATTTTGTGGCAGCTCGGGAGTGCAATGGACAGAGCATTGGACCTAGAGCCTGAAAGACTTGAGTTCAAATCTAGCCTCATATACTTACCAGCTGTGTAACAATGAAGAAATCACTTAACTGCCACCTGCCTCAGTTTCCCCAGCTGAAAAATGGGAATAATAATAGCACTCAGCTCCCAGGATGGTTGTGAAAATAAAATGAGTTAATTTTGTAAAGTGTTTTACAAATCTTAAAGTGCTATAAAAATGCTAGCTATTATTATTATTACATTCATTTGGGAAAGACAACAGGTATATCTAAGTATATGCAAAATAAATACAAGAGAAGGTACAAGCAGCTTGGGAGGGAGTCTCCAAAAGGGTTTCATGCTTGTAAGTGAGGTACTCTGAGAGGTGAAGATGAGGAGGAAATGTGTTGTTCCAAGCACAAGGGATAAACAGCTCGGCTCCACAGCTTGTGTAGAGGAGAGGGAACGATACACAGAATAAGGCTGGAAAGGTAGGTTGTGGTCATTTAAGTTTAATATAAGGAAAAACTAACAATCAGAATTATTGTCCAGTAGAATGTCTGATCTGGGAGATAACGTGAAGGGCTATGAAGGGCCAACAGAAGTCTTTACATTTTATTCTGGGGAGAGAAAAGGGGGTGAATGACAGGATTCCAGTGCTTCCTTCCACAGAACATGGGCACGACATCAAACAGTGCACATCCTCACCAAATGACCAACAGGACAACAGAGGACAGGAGAGGCAGCACACTGCAGCAGCAGACTCCCAGTCTGGCGATCTGGGCTCTCGGCCTGGTTCTGCCAACTCCCAGTATGGCCAGAGAAAGGCTGCTTAATCTCGCCTTCCTCAAGCTGGCCTCAAAAATACCTTTCAGATAAAAAATATTTTTTGTCCAATTTTAAAATATTCCATTTATCTAAGCCGTGTATAATGCAAAATGCCCATAAACATTCAACACAGGAGGGACTGGACCCAAAGAGGCTAAGGGACTTATCCAAGGACAAAAGAAGCAATACACTGCAGTGGAAAAAAAAGTCTGATGATCTGTGTTCTCGTCCTGGTTCTAACTCACTATGTGACCAGGAAAAAGTCCAAACTCAAAGACGTAAGGACCTGGGAAGAACAAAGAAACCAGACACCACACTCAAGCGAAGAAGCCATTTAAAAAGTAAACTACTTCATGATAGTAATGACATTCGTTATCTTATATGTTTATAGATTCTTTGCCACTACCTTAGAGAAGTAATGCTTAACCTGGGGTCCAAACTTTCTTTAAAAATTTTTTTTTTGATAACTGTATTCCTATGGATTTTATACATTTAAACATAAGATTCTGAGGAGTCCACATTCTTGCCGGACTGCCAAAAGAGTCCATGACACAAAAAAAGGGGAAGACCATCAGCTTTATGCCACTCCCAAGCACAGATTGCCTGCTTCTGCCCCAAGAGCAAAGGAGACAACATGCTGAAAACGGATGAAGCTGGTCTGCACAAGATTTGTGACTAAAGATACTTGTGACCAGGTCTTCGGAGGTAATTCAGAAACTGAGATGAAAGAAAACCCATGGAGTTTTCTTTAGCAGCCCTCATGCATTCCACCTGGAATCTAGGCCTAGTTACTGTAGGAAAGACAACACCATCCCCCTTCAAATCCTTTTCAATCCAAACATGGCCACTCTGCAGTTCATCAACAGAACCTGAGTTTTTAACACAACACAAGGAAACAAGCTGCACAAGCCAAATGGTGCTAAAGACACTGCATTCGCTTCCCCACAAGGTACTTCAGGACAGCAAGAAAACAGGAAAACAACGATCCGGAGGCCCGAGATCAAGTCAAGGCCTTGCCACTAACCGTCTGTATGAACATAGACAAGTCACTTGTTTATGCTTCATTTTTACCACCTTTAAAATGTGGGTGAGGGCAGAGCCAAGATGGTGGAGTAAAGGCAGGGACTCGCCTGGGCTCTCTCCTAAATCCTCCAAATACCTTTAAAGAAATGGCTCTAAACAAATTCTAGAGCAGCAGAACCCACAAAAAGACGAGTGAAACAAATTCTCAGCCCAAGGCAACTTGGAAAGTTGGCAGGAAAAGGTCTGTTGCACCAGGGTGAGAGAAGCCTACATGGGAAGATGATATTTGTAACTCATAAGACCTTTCTCATTATTAGGGTAGTTAGAAAGAGCATATATAGGGGCAGCTAGGTGGCACAGTGGATAGAGCACCGGCCCTGGATTCAGGAGGACCTGAGTTCAAATCCGGCCTCAGACACATAACATTTACTAGCTGCGTGACCCTAAGCAAGTCACTTAACCCCACTGCCTAGCAAAAAAAAAAAAGCAAGCATATATAGAGACAGAGGGCACAGGGTGAGTTGAATATGAAGGGATGACATCTAAAAAGTAAAATTAAGGGGTGAGAAAGGAATGTACTGGGAGAAAGAGAAAGGGAGAAGTAGAATGGAGTAAATTATCTCAAATAAAAGAGGCAAGAAAAGCTTTTGTAGTGGAGGGAAAGAGGGGGGAGGTGAGGGGGAGTGAGTGAACCTTACTCTCATCAGAATTGGCTCAAAGAGGGAATAACATACACACTCAATTGAGTATAGAAATCTACCTTACCCTACAGGAAAGTAGGAGGAGAAGGGGATAAAAGAAGGGGGGGGCAGGGTGGTGATACATTGGGGGAGGGGGTAGTCAGAAGCAAAACACTTTTGAGGAGGCACAGGGTGAAGGGAGAGAGAATAGAATGGGGGGGAAATAGGTCAGAGGGAAATAGCAATAATGACTGTGAAAAAAAATTTGAAGCAAGTTTCCCTGACAAAGGCCTCATTTCTCAAACATATAGAGGACTGAGTCAAATTTATAAAAATAAGAGCCATTCCTCAATCAATAAATGATCAAAAGATACAATCAGTTTTAAGATGAAATAATCAAAGCTATCTACAGCCATATGAAAAAAAAAGTTCTAACTCACTATTGATTGGAGAAATGCAAATTAAAATAATTCTGAGGTATTACCTCATACCTATTAGATTGGCTCACAGTACAGAAAAGGTAAATGACAAATGTTGGAGGGTACATGGGGAAAATGAGACTTTAATGCACTGTTGGTGGAGTTGTGAAATGATTCAGCCATTCTGTAGAGCAATTTGGAACTATGCCCAAAGGGCTATAAAACCATGCATACCCTTTGACCTCGAAATATCACTACTAGGTCTGTATCCCAAAAGAGATAAAAGGGGCAGCTAGGTAGCACAGTGAATAGAGCTCCAGCCTTGGAGTCAGGAGGACATGAATTCAAATCTGGTTTCAGACACTTGGCACTTGCTTAACCCTAACTGCCTAGTCAAAAAAAAAAAGAGAGAAAGATAAAAAACAAAAAGAAAAAGGACCTATACATACAAAAATATTTATAGCAGCTCTTTTCTGGGGGTAAAGAATTACAAGTAGAAGGGACGCCTATCAATTGGGGAATGGCTGAACAAACGGTGGTATATGATTATGATGGAATACTATTGTACTATGAGAAATCATGAGCAGGATGCTCTCAGAAAAACCTGGAAAGACTTGCATGAGCTGATGCAAAGTGAAATGTACTATGTACAAAGTAACAGCAACCCTGTAAGATGATCAGCTGTGAATGACCTAGCTATTCTCAGCAATACAATGATCCAAGACAACTCTGAAGGACTTATGATGAAAAGTGTTACCAATCCCCAGAGAAAGAATGGTTGGTGTCTGAATACAGATTGAAGCATTCTTTTTTCCCTTACTTTATTTTTCTCGAGTTTTTTTTTCCTTGTCTATGTTTTCTTTCACTCTATTATGAATATTTTGCATGACTATACACGTATAACCTATATGGAACTGTTTGCCTTCTCAATGGTGGTGGGGTGGGGAAGGAGGAAGGGAGAGAATTTGGAACTCAAAGTTTTAAAAACTAATGTTAAGAATTGTTTTTACATGTAACTGTAGAAAAATAAAATACTAAATAAAAGCTTAAAAACTGTGGATGAGGGAGAGGAAGGGTTGAGAAGAGTTAAACTGAAATCAAGCAGAGAACTGGGCTTCAAGCTCTAGTAAGAGACCCAAACATATGACCTCCTCTAGGGTCTTCCTCCCGGTTTTAAATGGTTGAAGTAAATTATACCTACCATGGTAAGAGGATTCAATGCTCAAATAAAGTTGAAGATAAATTTCTTCTAATCAGTGTTCTCAAGTTTAATCGAATCCTGAGCTGTCCTTCAATAACCTAAAACAATTCTGGAGAGCCTTTTTAGATCCCTCGATGTCAAAGATCCTTAAACTTCCCCAAGAGACAAGCTCCCTATCTTTAACCCTTCACTTTTTCCTCCTCAATCACATTCTAGCCATTTTCTTGTCTGTGCTCTAGTCTAAAGCAAGCCAAAGGCTTGAAATGTTACTTCTGGCTTTGAGAAGACTGCCTGCAGTGAGAACAAAAATAGAATGCATGCAGCCAAAAGTACTATGCTCCATCAGGAGAGGGAACAGTAACTCAGGAGAAAAGGATAAATATCTGCAAAAGAATCCATGTTATTTCCAGTATGGACAAGACTCTGAAAAGCTAATGCTTGGATCAGTAAAAATCCACTTAGGCAGGGAATAATCAGATTTCAAATAAAGCAATTTGATACTTATAGAGCAACAATTTTAGGGAGGTGGACTTCTCTGATCAAAAACGTACAGTTTTCCCACAAAGCTCGGGCAATCTCCACACCATGCACAACTTAGAATAAAGTCACTAGAATTGATGTAATTAAAAGTCACTCTGAAAAAAAAATCATTTCCCCCAAATTTCCCAAAGACTACTAAGTACTTGTAAGCCTTAAGGTACTATTTAAACGTGAGGTATTATTTATAACAGGTTCTGAAGAGGTTACATTATAGAGTAGGAGGAAAGGACATCAAACAATGTTAAGCAAGGTTCTAAAAGATGACAGATATTTTACCATCAAGGTTCAATGGCTCTGGAAAAGTGGTCTGGTGTATCTGGGCTCCAGCAGCCCAATAAACTCAACTAATCTATCCCCCAGCAGAGCTCAAAGTTTCAGGTCTACAGGCCCTACACAATCCTCTGCTGTGAGATGAATGTTAAGTCCAAACTTTTAAATAGCTTTTTAAAAAAGGATTTGAGCCCACGTGGACAAAAATATTTATAGCAGTTCTTTTTGTGGTAGCAAAGAATTGGAAACTGAGGGGGTGCCCATCAATCTGGGAATAACTGAACCAATTATGGTACATGATAGAGTACTCTTGTACTGTGAGAAATAATGAAGGGGATGGCTTCAGAGAAATCTGGAAAGACTCGTATGAACTGATGAAGAGTGAGGTGAGCAGAATCAGAACAATTTATACGATAAAAACATTACGGAAAGACAAACAACTCGGAAAGACTTGGGAACTCTGATCAACACAATGAGCAATCACATTCTAGAGGATTAGAGATGAAACATGCTGCCCACCTTCTGAGAGGTAATAGAAACGGAGGGCAGAGTGGAACACTTAGTTTTTTGCACATGATCAATGACAATGTGTTTTACTTGACTATAAATGTTTATAATAGGGATTTTGTTTTTCTTGTCCTCTCAATGGAGGAGAAAGGGAGATAAGAGAGAGATACAGCAGATATTTAAAAATAAAAACCTAATTATAAAAAAAACGAATTTGATCAGATTCCCTTCCTCCTTTGCTGAAGAACAGATAATTCCTATACTCTTATAGGTACTGTGATGGAACAAGTGGTCCATCATTATGAAGGCAACCCCATCCCACCATTTCACTCTCAACAAGTTGTCCATGTCTGGTCAAAAGTCAGCCAAAAAAGAGTGCACTGATTAACTGATGGCTTCCCATGGTCCTCTAATATCTTAGGCCCTAAGACTTAGGCAAAGTCAAGGGCCAAGATTCAAAGGGAAGGTAAGAGTAACAGTGTATGTGTCCATAGTGTTCTATGTTTTTACAACATGCTTTCCTTAGAACAAACTCATGATGTAGACAGTACAAGTATGATTATCCTCATTTTACAGATGAGAAAACTTGGGCTCAAAGAAAGGAGACCAAGGGGCACAAAACTGGTGAGTACTGAAGATGTGGAAATTGACACAAAGCAAGGAAGTCTGTATAGCCAGTTTCTAACTGTCATCACCAAGAAGGTGCTCATTTCCAGCAACGGAATCAGATGCTACTGCCTGGCACCAAAGGATAAAAGAAAATCTCTGAACATCAGTAAATCACACTACAGCAACTGTATCTCCAAAGGACACACACAGGAGAGGCTTCTCTGGGCTCTGGGTTCTCCCTAGCTGCAGAGGCTAGCAGCCTGCTTACCTTTCGGGCCATGATGAGCCCTGAAGGTCTATGCTGTACTTTGGTGACCACCCCGCCATTGCCAGCTCCCAGCTCGGAGATCCTCTCAAAGTCATCATCCTTCAGCTCCCCCACCTTTGCCTTCTGGGTGAGGAAAGCTTCCAGCCGCTTCTTCTGCTGCTCATCAAGTTCTAGCTCTTCTAATTTTTTCTGCAGATCTGCCAGGTTCGCCCTACACACAGAGGATGTTGGAAAGAAGGCAGACAGGAAAAGAGACTGGTCAGTCGTCTGAAAGTGTAAATCATTCCATTCCTTGTCTAAAGGCGCCACCAGGGGCTATAAAAAGCCTTGGGATTCCAAGGGCTTACCACTACTACTAATAATAATAGATGACATTTCTCTAGCAGTTTTAAGGTTTGCAAAGCATTTTAACTATTTTCTCTCACTTGACCTTTAGAACAACCCTGCAAAACAGGTAGTACAAATAAGATTATTCCCATTTTACAGACGAAGAAATGGGCTCAAAGCAGTAAGTGACTTGCCAATATCATACTACTAATATGTGGTGGACCAAGTTTTTAATTCAGATCTTCAGGCTTTAAGTCTAGTGTTATTTCTACTATACTATAATTCCCCTCTCTAGTTTAAAACTTGGAAAGAATATAAGAGAGGGCCAAGACCAGGGAAGAAATTGTGTAGAGAAGCCTTCTTCTCAATATTCCCAATAGCAAGGTAAGAATATCATTCACATTAAACACCAGAAGCAAATGGATCTCTGCCATAAAGTAATAATAACAAAACTCAAATAATTCATGATATCCCTGCATGCTCTCTTTTGTCCTTGCTAAGTCCAAAGTGGCTAGGTTTATAAAAAAGGACAGGCATTTTGAAAGTGGCCCCAGTCGAGCCTCCTCTTTTGCACACTACACCCCATTCATTCACACAGGCCAAACCATAAACCTGCCTGAATCCTCCAGCTCCAAAATTACCTGAACTAGAAGGGCTTGACTGCTCACTGCCTGGGAGGTAGCCCAGCCTGGTGACTTTCCCTGGAGCTGCAAATTCATCATGAGGAGTCTGAGGAGCAGCCCTCCCTACACACATTCCATAATTATCTGCCACTCACTGTTCAAACATCTTCCTTTGTTTTTGTCTCCCTTCAGAGTCCCCAGATTTCATCTACCTTCAAAAAGTGCTACTCCATCTTCAGATCTCCCACTCGAGTTCTCTCTTCCTTACCCAACCTACCTCTCCCTTACCTTTCTTTTCATTTTTTCCGGTAAGATCTGTTTTCCTTTAATTCTTCTCACCTCTCTGCCCAAGCCCTGTACACCTTCCCCTCTATGCAAAGTAGTCTATTGGAAAGATTCCTTGATTTGGAGTCAGAAGACCTGGGTTCAAATCCAAGATCTACTATTTACTACTTGTGATGTGACCTTGGCCATAGTCATAACCTCCCTGAGCCTCAGTTTCCCCATTTATAAAACTGAAAAATGGGGAGGAAGGTGCTTGGATTACATGATACCAGAGAAAGAGGTCTTGATTTGAAGTCTGGAAGTACTTAGGTTCAAATCCCAACTGTGTCACTACTACCTGGTGACCTTGAGTAAGTCACTGGCCCTTTCTGGACCTCGGTTTCCTCATCTGTAAAATGGGGGGGATTGGATCACATGACCTGAGGTCTGTCCTCCACCTCTAAACTCACCACCACCTCCCCTTCCCCTCTTCCCCAAGTTGCCCTATAGGTTTATCCTTCCCTTTTCCCACCAGAACCACTTCAGCCCCCTTCAGGACCCCTCCCTCTCTATTCTTTCCCCCTTCTCAGGCCACCCTCCTCAGGAAGTAGTAAGCACATAATAAATGCTTGCCACTTTGCTTGTGGAGCTGACTCCCTACTCCCCTTAGGACCACTTAACACACATTCCCTCTCCCAGCTGCGCTCCTCGCTGTCTGTCCCTTCCCAGGACCGCCCCGCCATCCCATTCCAGGTGGAGGGTGCACGACTCTGAAGTGGGCCAAGAGCAGGGTTCGAATCTGGCCGGGCAGCTTCCCGCGGGCCGCAGCGGCTTCTCCTGGAAAGGGAGGGGATGGGCCGACCCCGCTCTCCAGCCGCCCCCCCCCCGCGGCCCCGCCCGGCCCGGGCACTCACTCGGACGCGCCCTCGCTGGTCGGGGACGGGCCCTCGGCGATGGTCGGGGTGATGTTGAGCGCCGGCAGCACCGGCTTCCTCTTGGCCAGCATCGGGGCTTCCCGGAGCGCCGGGGGCGGGGGCAGGGATGGCGCGGCTGCAGCGCCTCTAGCCGGGGCCCATAGGGGAGGAGGCGCCCCCAGCTCCGGCCCGAACCCGCCCGGCTCCGGCTCCGGCTCCGGCCCCGGCCCCGCGGGGACCTTCGGCCTAGGCGAGCCCGGCGTTGGGGCAGCGGCCTGCGGGACAGAGCGGGGAGGGCGGCTGCCGGCGGGAGCAGGGGCCGCACGGAGACTGCAGAGACCGGACCGGCACGGGAAACTGGGACCGGAGGCCAGGACCAGCTGGAGCCGCCGCCAGAGCTGGAGCCGGAGCCGCCGCTCGAAGGCGCTTGGGCCGGGGCCGGGGCTGGGACGAGCTAGGCTGACGCTACAGCTGGGGGGGGAGGGGAGGAGGCGGAGGGAAGGGGCGGAGGAAAGGAGCCCGCCCCAGAATCTCGCGAGATCTGCGCGCCGGGGGCCAAGGAGCTCCGCTCCTCCCTCCCTCTCTCCTCCGCCCAGCTTCACTGCGCGAGCTCGCGGGGACAGCTGTGGGGCGCCCGGCTGGAGGAGGCGGGCAGCTGCTGGGGGTGCTGTTAGGCTTGGGCAGCGAGGGAGGTGTAGGGGACGAGAGGGCTTGAGGGTCCACGAGGAGAGAGAGAGAGGGCAAGGCCGAGTCCAACACTGAGCTCCCTTGTGGAACGACTTGGGGCCGCTGAGGGTGAACCCAGAAAGACTGAGGGGTGGGGGAGCTGAGGGAGAGAAGAAGGAAGGACCGTGAAGGCGGTGGCTCCTTGGTGTCAGAGGCTGCCCGCTGGAAGAGGCCTCCAAGGCAATGGAGTGCAGTCCTCTCATTTACCCGAAAGTCACCCGAGTGCCTCAGCTAGTCTCAGTTCTAAAGGGAATTCCCTCTTGGAGTCGGAAAACCCATCTCTGCCCTGGGGTCGCTTCATCCCCTAGTATTTATCCTGGCCAGCATATGAGACATTCTTCATAGAGCAGAGGTGGAACCAAGCCATTCGTTTGTTGAGGGGCAGGTCCAGCCCCCAGGGCTCCTGAATCCTATAGGAGTCCAGGGTCCTTTGCGCCGTATGGCACTGCCTCCTCATCACTAGGACTTGGACAAAAGATGCCTTTTCAGTCCTGTGGAAGGAATTGTGCCTCAAGAGGGAATCCATGTAGGGTTAAGTCTACCTGGCTAGAGTCTGTGGGCTGTGGAGCACAGCGCCCAAATGATCATCTAAAAAACGTTTGAGTGCCCTGGATGCCAGGGGCTGTGCTAGGCTCACAGGGTACAAATCCGAAAAGAAGTAATTCCTACTCTTAGGAGCTTATACTCTGTGGGAAAAAACAATATGTACGTATATGTGTGTGTATATTTACACATATAGACAGAATAAATATATAAAATAAATACAAAGTAGTTAGGGAGGGCACTGAACAGTTGGGATGGGGGTGGTCCTTGAGCTTTGTCTGGAAGGAAGAGGGGGATTTTATGAGGTAGAGATGAGGAGGGAGTGAATTCCAGGAATGGGAGGGAATAACCACTGCAAAGGCTCAGAAAGGGAAGTTCCCCCGAGAACAGAGGAAAAGAAGGCCAATTTGGCTGGGCTTGGGAAGAGGAACAATGTATAAGGGAGCTGGAAAGACAAGTTGGGGCCATGACCCTAGAGGCAATAAGGAAGCAAAAGAGTTTGTTGAGTAGGGTAGTGACATGGTCAGGACCAACACTTAGGGAAAACCACTTAGACAGCTGTGAGGAGGAGCAATGAATAAGGAGACAAAGTAAGAGCTATTGTGAGAAGTGATTTCAGTCTTAATTGAAATGGTAGCTATGTGGGTAGCAAGAATGGAAAATAAAGAAGAGAGGCAGAGGCAAAAGTGGCAAGATTTGCAACTGATTGGAAACATGGGTCTAGAGAGACTGAGGAGTTGAGGATGCCAGTGAGATTATGAGCCTGGGAGACTGGAAGAATACAAAAATAGGAAAGTTCTGAAGGGGAGAGATAGAGTTCTGTTTTGGGCATGTTAAGTTTGAGATGCCTAGAGGCCATTCTGTTTGTGATGTTTCAATAAGCAGTTGGTGATATGGGACTGAAGCTCAGGCAAGAAACTATATAAATATAATTAAATTCATGGGAACAGATGAAATCACCGGAGAAGAAGGTTCAGGGCGGAACCTTGAGAAACAAAGCTAGTGAGCATGATATAGATGGCAACCGGGCAAAGAAAACTAGAGGGAGCAAGTAGAAGGAAGAAGAGAAAATAGTGTCATGACAACTTAGAGAAAGGAGTATCCAGAAAGAGAAAGTAGTTAATCATTAAATAAAGTAGAGGTTGAGGATTGAGGAAAAAATATCCAGTCTATCAATTAAGAGATCATTGGTAACTTTAGAAAGAACAATTTCAGTTGAATAACAAAATCAGAAACCAGACTGCAAATGGTTGTAAACTGTGAAAGAAAATGAAAGTAGCAAGTGTACATGGATTTCTTAGGAGTTTGGCTAATTTTAAGATTATAGATTTAGAGCCAGAAGGGACTCCAGAGGTCATCAAGTCTAACCATATTATTCTACATATGAGGAAACTAAGGAACAAGTTAAATGACTTGTTCAGGGTCACACAGCTAGGAAACACCTGAGGTGATATGTGAACCTAAGTCATACTGTCTCCAAGTCCAATGCCCTATCCACTTTAAGGGCTTGTTACAGATTTATGGGAGTTTTGTAGTTTGTCTTCTCAAGGTACAAAAGCTCCCTCCACCTCTTTTCTTATGTTTTATCATCTGAGAATGTTCTGCTTTACAGCCCTTCCCTATTATTTATCTTTTTATTTACTGCTGATTAGAAAAATATCTTTCTTAGTGTATCTGTTTCCTGTCTCCAGAGACTGGCATGTGTCCTCACTTTCTTACCCTAGGAAATGAAAATCTAATTGCTTTGAGATTATATTTAATCCAAGGCTATAACATTTATCTATTTCAGTCATAATAAGGTATTAGTAATTTATGTGTATATTGTACTTCTTTCTATAGAATTCATAGTGCACTGTGGACTTTATCACATTTGTTCTCTTATATCAGGGTAGGTAATATAAAGGCTGACCAAGGAAGATTATGGAATCTTCCTCTTTGAAGGATATTTGAGAGTAAAAGATGATCGTTGGAAAATATCTTAGACTCCCTAATGATCATTATCCTCATTTTTCACCTGAGGAAACTGAGACCAATAGAGATGTGACACACTAGAGAAATATAGGATGAAGAATTTCTAATGACTGATTATGTGGATGTGACTAAATGAGGGCTATACATCCAAATAATTGTTTTCTCTGATTGGAGCAAGTAAAGATGTTTTAGGTTTGTAGCTATAGGCAGTTTGGAATTCTGGGTCCTAGACTCACTATCAGAACAAAATATTTGTACCTCAAAATAGTACACTGCTCCATTTCAATCTACTTAATTTGGCAAACATGTATTAAAGATTCACAGACCTACACCATAGGCAGAAAAAGAGTAGAGAGAACATTCCAGAAATAGTGAAGAACATGAGGAAATTCAGGAAACGTGATCAGATTAATGAATAAGAAAAATTAGTCTGGCCATGAATGGTTTGAAGCTTAACATTAAAAAAAAAAAATCCTAAGCTGGGGCAGCAAAGTGGCACAGTGGAGAGAGCACTGGCCCTGAAGTCAGGAGGACCCGAGTTCAAATCCAGACTCAGATATGTATTAGCTGTGTGACCCTCAGCAAGTCGATTAACCCTGATTGCCTCCAAAAAACAAAACAAAACAAAAACCCCTAAGATTATGACAACTGGTTTTATCACTTTCTGTCAATATAGAGAGAAGAAATGGAAGTGTCAGATTTCATATTCTCAGGCTCACTGCAGCCATGAAATTGAAAGATGCTTGCTCCTTGGAAGGAAAGCTATGGCAAATCTGGACAGTGTACTAAAAAGCAGAGATATCACCTTGTTGCCAAAGGTCCATATAGTCAAAGCTATGGTTTTTCTAGTGGTAATGTATGGCTGTGAGAGTTGGACTATAAGGAAAGCTGAGAGTCACAGAACAGATGCTTTCGAATTGTGGTGCTGGAAAAGACTTTTAAGAGTTCCTTGGACAGGAAGGAGATCAAATCACTTTATACTCAGAGAAATTAATTCAGACTCTTCATTGGAAGGACAAAACTGAAGCTGAAGCTTAAATACTTTGGCCACATAATGAGAAGACAGGACTCATTGAAAAGACTCTGATGTTGGGAGAGAGTGAAGGCAAAAAGAGAAGGTTATGATAGCCAGCAGAGAAGTAGCTGGAGATGGAGAGATTAGGGATTAGTGAGAGAGGGGGATGATAGAAGGAATAATCTGCTGAAGAAAATGGGATGGAATTGAATCATTTGTGCATGTAGAGGAGTTTTCCTTATCAAGGAGAAGAGTCACCTCTTTGTTCAAAACAAGCCTGAAGGAGATAGTGAAGACATCTGAGTGATGTGATATAAAGAGGAGGGGAGAAGAGGGAACTCTGAACAAATGGACTCAATTTTTTTCAGTGAAATATGAAGCAAGGTACTCAGCTGAGAAGGTATGGGAACAGGCAGCAAAGAGAAGGTTTAATGAGGGATGAAAAAATTTGGAAAAGATGTGGTGAGGACAGTGAATCAATTAGGGAGGTGTAAAAGAACTGCCTTGCCTAAGTAAAGGCCCAATTGAAATTATGTAACATAAATTTGTAGTGAACCCAGTCAGCACAATTTCCTAATTTATTCCAGCCTCACATGCTCCTGAAGCACAAGAATACTTTTGCAAAGGCAACAGGTGGCAGGAGTAATCCAAGGATAGGGCTTGGCAAGGAATTATCAGTATAGGATAAAGCAGCAATGGACTTGAGTGCAGAGGACAGTGTAGAGTTGAAGTAGTTCAAGATAGGGGAAGCAGGAGGGTGTTGGGTAAAGGGATTGGAGGATATGGTGAAAATGAAAGACAGGGTTGAGGGTTCTAAGGAAGAGGGGAAGATGGAGTGATAAAAGATTATGACTAGGTAAAGGGATTTCAGTTGGTAAACATGGAAACGAAATACTTGTAAGTGTTGGCAAGATCAAGGATATGACCATCTGTGTGGGTAGCTGAGGTAGAGTGGAGAATTAATTTCACAGGAAATTAGCAGATTGAGGAATTGGGAAGTTAGAGTGTTTGGGGGAGTATCAATATGTATGAGAGTGGGAGTTGGGGAGGGAAGAAAGACCAGCTGAGCACTGAACTAATTGAGTAGGAAAGGGGAGGGTCTTGGGAGTGGGTAGACAATAGCTTCTCCAATCTTGATTGGGTGATAAATATGAATTGAATGAATCTCAAAGTAGGAGAGGTTACTGAGTGGTGGTGGTGGAAGGGGAGCCTGGAAGTGGCAATT